GGTGTTTGTGTGTTTTGCAGCATCCAATAGAGGTCAGCAGAGGAAAAGCGATGCTTGTGCCGTCCTTACGCGCAGCCGCGTAAGACGTATATCCCTTTTTTGCAGAGTGTTCACATCCTTGCCATTTCCCGTCTCTCGCTCTGCCTGCTACCCGACACACGCATGCCGCCGCAGCCAGCTTGGACTGGGTGGGGCACCGAAGGCACAGAGTTTCAGTCCATCTATCAGAAATTCCGTAAAGTGCCAAAAGCTGCGCAGAGGAAGTCACGGGGGTAGGGACAACCCTCGGGGGAGGGCTGATGGTGTAGGGGTATCACGTTTGCTTTGCATGCAAAAGGTCCGGGGTTCAATTCCCCGTCAGTCCAATGCTTTTGCCATCTCCGTTTTCAGTGGTGTTTAGGTTAACTCACTTTAGAGTGCAGAAGTTTGATGGACACTTTGTGTCTGTACCGGCATCAAAATGACGTGCATTCGCCTGTGGGTCAAGTTGTGGGGAAGCGAGGAAAACTCCTGCGTAATGGTGTGTGTATCCATTCAGCCTCATCTTTTTGTGCTGTGACAATCACTGAAATATAACGTATCGTGCGCTTCGTCGGAGCATCGCTGCGGGGTTCATCAGATCAGAATAGTCGGAGCGCGGGCTCGCGAAGAGCACTTTCGCGAAGAGTGGTTCGGCTGCCACTGGTCTCCAAGCATCCTGAGAGCGGCGGTACAGGGGCATGGGCCTGCTATAGAGAGAGGAGGGCCGGTGGTACGCCGCAGCACTCGGTGCTGCAGCTCAGACTGCACCACGTCCAAGAACACCCACACCACTTTTGGTGACGCACTAACGCCATTGGCAAGTTTTAACACATGTAGCTGGTTCTCAGTAGCCTAGCAGTGCGCAAAAAGACATGTATGTGCAGACGTGGGAGAGACAATGTTTCATAGGCTACGGCTCTTTTCCCAGAGGGAGCCCGCCACTGTAAGCGTGGCTGCACACGGGATGGAAGTAGCGCGGGTGCGGGAGGGGGCGGTGAGAGGGGCAAAAACCCTGAGTGCACAAGTGGAAAGAAAAATGACCAGGAAAGAGGGCGAGGGCATCAGCATTGTTGTTGCTGCTGGCTGCATGCGCAGTGTCACGGCCTCTAGTAGCCCCAAGCACTGGGTTCCCTGTGCCTGGGTTAGGAAGTGCATTTTAATATGAGTAGTCCAACCTCGACAAAAGCGTTTATTGAGCCCCCGCCGATGAGCAGAGTCAGAGCGAGCGTTACTGGGCGGTTCCGTCCAGCCCCAGAGAGGGGGCTGCAGTCCCAAAGCACCTAGCCGACAACACTTTCACTGGAAAGCATTGAAGCGTCATCAGATGCGGCATCGAGATAGCCATAGCTAGAGGGAAGGGCTCGTATCAAACCGAAGAATAGGTGGCTCCCGAGTGAATGTAGATATAAAGAATTGGGCCCCTCTAAACACGTACGAAAGCAATTGTCCACAGGTTTTCCACTGAATATTGTGTCCTGGCTGCCATCGGCGAAGCATAATCGCTGATTACGTTTCGCCGGCAATTGAGTAGGCTGGTAGGTTGCACTTCCTTGCCGTAGTTTCAGATTTCAAATCCACTTGGTAGCCTCTGCCATGTAGAGCGAGTAACTCCTGACCATTGATACGACGGAGCGTTCACTCATGGGGGAGCAGTTAGTGTGACTATTGTTGTTTTTCTCCATCATTGCGCCGAAAGCTGCGTGGGATTCAGGCCGGTATTTTGTTTCTCTGCTTAGTCTGCTCATAGTCGTAGCCCCGCAATGCCGAACTGTGCGGCGTTTTTGTTGCAAGAATATCAGACGAACAGCTCGGTGCGTCACCCTGGCCTGCTGCGTGCCGGGCTCACAGGACCCCTTCTTGTCTTCTTCGGGGAGGGGCTGGCATTCAAAGCCCCAAAATTCGTGGATTCGATTTGTAGGCCATCTCCACACCCTTTATCTGGTTTCATAGCTAGGGCGTTGGACGAGGAGCTTTTTCTCCCTTTGGCGTTCAAGTACTTTAACGCATCAGCAAGTTCCATCCATTCAAAACTTGTTTTCACGTACCATTTCAGTTATAAATTGGTTCTCTCGACAGGGCAGCTCAGCAATGAACCACTGATGTAGAAACTCTGAGTCCACCACTGGCGATCCGATTACCAAGGACTTCTTACCAAGGACTTCTACGTCTCGATGTTGCACTCTATCAATAGCTTCCCTTCTCCGAGTTTCCTTATCTTGTCAGAGTCTTCTTCCCTGCTGACGTAGAGATAAACCCACGCCATAGCGCATTTCAGAAGGCTTCCATAACTTGGATGTGCTTTAGAGTATTGGTAGACTTACTGAATGCACTCACCATCTTGGTGCCTCCCCTTCTAATAACGAAGGTGTCAATAGCAACTGTAGCTATTCGACTGCATTTTGAAGACGAAAATACAAATGCATTGGAGAAAGGTGCTCGTCCACTGCCCCTGCAACGGCGCGTCCGTCATTTCTGGACAGTGGGAAAAGACGAAGGCATCATTCATGAATAGAAGAATGCCTTTAAAACATTTTCTGGTGGGCAGGATGCAGATACCGCGCTGGTTTCAACGAGACGGTGCTCTCACCCATTGGTATCTTCCCCACCAGAGGGGCGTTCCTGACCACCCTACGCCATGGACGAGGTAAACAGGGCTGAACTTTGAAAGATTTCGGGAGCTTCCGAAACTTGCCCATTCCTTCTTAGATCACCTTTGGCACCTCTTGCTGTTACGCGCCTGACAACTGTACTGCCGGGGTGGGTTTTCGTTTCTCGCTCCTGTCCTGATGAACCATGCGGCACCACCAGTGTAAGAGGAGTCCGCGATCTTCTCCGATTACCGTCTTGAGCTGCAGTGGAAGCAACAGATTTAAGATGAGTTGCTAGAAAGGAGCTGACCTTCCCTCCAGTTCCTAGACGTTATGGGCCCTTCAGTTCAAGGCTGTGGAGCTACGTGAGGCTGCATGGTATGAGTTGCAACTCAGCTTCTCTCAACCGATGTCGCAAGCCAGCCTTACATGCGAGCGAGCACACGAACCTCCGTTTGCTGTCTAACACCGTAGACAACTGCTGTGCTTCTGCTTGCGTGCAGGCTGCCTGCACAGACCAAGTAAGTATTCCTTTATCTACTCCATAGAGCATTCTACAAAAATAGTAATCCAGAGTGGTGTCTGTAGGCAATCCAGCGGGTCGTACGCGCTTTATTTATGTTAGGTGACAATTAAAACTTCATTAACAGTGGAAAGACACATTAAAATATCTTTATTTGATGCTATCTGCAGATATGAATATTCTTTTTCAGCGGACTCCCCGACAGACGACGGCAGCAAGAAGCATTGGTTATGTATCGCCCTCTGAATTTCCTATGACCTAACTTAGATTCTATGCTTATGAATTTTGTTAAAGTGCTTTTTTTCTGTTTATTTATTTGAATACAAAGGAGGAAAAGAGCGACACAGATAATACATGATCAGCGCCGGGCGGCTGTCGTGCCGGTTTCTTCTGTGCATGCATGTTGGGTTTAAATGAAACGGTGAGATGAGGAAGTTGAGAACTGCTGTTTTATTCAATAGCTCTTTTGTGCAGGGGTTATTATTCTTCTATTCCGGGATATATTCTTGAAAGAATAATATTTTTCCCCCGGTTTCGGCGGTCGCTACCGCTCTGTTTGTCTGTTGGAAAGACAGACGGACGCCGACGGATCTGCACTTCATCTTTTATTTTTTTTTCGCATGCAGTTGAATAGAAGAAGGAGTTTTTGTTTATTTTCTCTGTTTTCTCTTTCCGCCGCCTTTGCAGCAAGATGACCGCGCGTGTTCTTCATTCTCGTTGGGCAGTGGTATTATTCATCTGGCTGGCATGTTTGGGGTGTATATGCACCTCTGCGTTTGAGGCGTCTATCGACTTGGGCCCCGCTCAGCGACGCTGCATCGGAGAGCAGCTGAGCAAACATGTGTTGATCGTAGGGGAGTTCCGCGTCTCGCATCCTGCTCCTACCATTCCTGGAGGCGGTGCAGCAGGGCCCCTGCTAATGCACGTGCATGTAACAGACCCTGCAAACAAGACACCTGTATTTCAACAGAGCAGCCGAGATCGCATCAAGACCGGGTTTACCAGCACGAAACCAGGCGTGCATATGTTCTGCGTGAAGAATTTGTCTCAGCAGCAAATCACTGTGGATGTGCAGCTGCTGTGGGGCCCTGCAGCACGTGACTACAGCCAGCTAGCTAAGGCTGAACACATAGACGAGGTGATGCTGCAGCTGCTGCAACTCCAAGACAAACTGAAGCTCTATCATAACAACATCCTCTTCATGAGAGAACGCGACGAGCAAATGCGACAGCAGAACGAGCAAACCGCCACACAACTTATTCTCTTCTGCGGAGTCAATATTTTCTTCCTTGTAGCTTCGAGTGTTATCTCTGGTTTCTTCTTTAAACGCTTCTTCCGCTCTAAGAAGATCATTTGAGGTTCTGCTGCACGTGCTTGTGCATTGAAAGGAAAGGGCAAGGCGTTAAGGCATTCGAAGAAGACACACGAATAAAGAAGACAAGCGAATGGAGAAGGATTAGAACAAAGGCTAATTAGAGATTGAGGCTGCATGCAGATCGCGTGCGCTGCTGCTGCTTCAGCTGTACGTACACCCGATATCATCCCCAACACGGGCTGCGTAGACAGACAAACTTTACTGCTCTCCTGCCGCCCTCTTTAAGGACATAGGAAGCCCTGATGTGCATGCAGTTCAAGCTGGTGTACGGACACAAACCCTGGAATACTGCTTTTCTTTTCATGTTGATGCTGCACACGCATTTGTGCTGCTTCTATCGTCGCGTTCTTTTCCTACTGCGCAGTGTATGTGCCTGTATAGTTCCCCCAGCTTCTGCCGATTTTGTTTAATATATATAATTATTAGTACTATTGCATCCAGGTGTACAGACATGTATTGCAGTACATCTCCAAACGGACGGCAGAAGAAAGACAGAAAAGAACGAAAAGGATATATGCAGCACCTCCTATAGAACACAACGTCTTTCTTGCTGGAGGTTGGGTGTATGTACACCTCAAAAGGTTTGGGTGTACGTACAGCTCACAACGCCCGGCAGCCGCTTCAATGTACAACTATGCATGCAATTCGTGCAGTGTATTCTTAACGGGCATATTCAGACGCCTTCGATTGCATGAACGAATGCACGCATTGGAGTGTATACGCATGCTTCGGGGTGTATGCTCAGGCATTGAAGTACTTGCATGCATGGGGATGCATGCGTATTCAGCATTGGGGTTGGGGTGTACGCGCATGCAGCATTGAGGTGTATGCACATGCATTGGGGTGTATGCGGGTATATTGCGTATATATGATGTAGACACGTGTTAAAGCCGTGCATGCATTAAGAGGTTTTGCATGCATGCAGCATGTTGTGTTTGTTCTGTGTGCGCTGCTGCACACAAACAGACCAGAAGGAACATAAATTATAAAGGAACTAACGATTTAAATTGTTAAGCTAATTCAACTGCATGCAAACAAAGAAATGCATCACCAGCACAACAGGTTGAGGTGTACGTGCACGTCAACCTCGGCGTTCTGCTATGGTTAGTTGTTGCTTTCTTCTCCCTGTCTATATTCTTAGTATTGTAGTACTAACAAAAGGGGAGAAAAGCAGTTAATCTAACGCATTGACTAGCAGAAACATTGACAGCACCAACTAAACGTACACCCCAAAGCATGCGTTTTCTCTTGCTGTACTGCGAAACATACCTTTAGGGGTTTAGGGTTTCGGTGTGGCTGCCCCTACAGCTGAAGTTGAAGGCAGCAGAATCAATCAGTTATTTGTTTCTGAAGGGTTTAGGGTTTGAATAGCAGAAGGATTAGCTTATGGGCCTCCACGCTATTATCTCAGCTCAAAGTTAAGAGAGCAGTCTTCTGCAAGTGGATATAAACGGATTACAGATTACTTCTGCTTGTTAATCCCCTGTTGTATGCACGCCTTGCACTTGCATTCTTCTCGCCTCGTCTCCCTTTGCTAGTGACTCTCAACGCATACTTTGCTGCAATACACACGGGTAGCTACTTCAATAGCTAGCTATGCATGTGGGCTAGTTGGGTGGCTAGCTGGTTGGCTAGCTTTGTGGCTAGCTACTCGATAAGACGCGGAAGTGTGTGACAGTCTAGGGTTTAGGGTTTAAGGTTTAGGGTTTGGCGTAGCCTGATCTGTCTGAATTTGCTGAGAGTCGAGGAAGAGTTCAATAACAGTTAAATACTCTCTTTCTGCATGTACACAGCAAGAAGCGCTGCTGGTAACTATGCAAGAATCCGTCTCTGTCTCTTCTGTCTCATGTCTCTGCTCGATCTCTTCTGTCTCTTCTATGTCTTTCGTCTCTTCTATCTCTTCTGTCTCTTCTCGCTCTTGTGTCTCCTCTACCTTTTCTGTTTCTTCTATCTCTTCTGTCTCTTCTGTCTCTTCTCTTTTCTGTCTATCTTATCTTATCTGTCTCTTCTATCTCTTCTGCTGTTTCTCTCTTTGTGTGTCTTCTCTCTCTTCTGTTATTTCTTTGTCTTCTGTCTATTTTTCTGTTTGTCTCTTCTATTGCGTCTGTCGTTGCTGTATCATCTGTCTTTCTGTATCCTCTCCGCGCCATTATCCCCATGCTCTTCTGCTGCTGTGACTAGGATCTTTCTTTAAATATTAAAAAGAATTTATAATATCTTATATTTTATATTCATAATTTATAGTCCTTTATGAGCGATGTCATCGATATTAGCAGCAGTATTGTCACGCACTTTGCAGAGCAAGCACAGAGGTAATTGAGTAAATAAAAAGAAAGAAAACCTTTCTTAGAAAAACTTTGAGAGAGATTTCTTCTTTTGTTTGGTTCCCCTTAACTCTCTTTTTTCTTGCGTTGTTATTTTCTGGGTTTGTTTGTACTGTGGGTCCGTCTGTTACTGACCCTTCACCTCTCATTTATTGTTATTTTAATTTTTATTTTATTAAAATGCTTTAAATGATATATGAAAAATCTCCTTGTTGTCTCCCCTCTTGTTTTTCTACTGTTGTTATTCCTGTCTTACCTTCTTTTGGTCGAAGGGTGCTTGAAGTGGGTTTAATGCAAAAAACATCTTTTTAACAAAATAAACACTAATTTAATGCAATACACATTGTTTAAATGTAAAAAAGAATATTCTCTTTTTTAACATCCGCTGAGGCGAACAAACGAACAAAAATTATGGTTGAGGGAGTGACCTCCCGCTGCAGAGGGGGGGGTTAAAGGGTATAATAAAGGGTATAGAGGGTTTGTATTAGAGCATATATAAAACATTATTATATAATAAATAAATAAACAAATAAATGGTAAACATAATTTGACCTTTAATTTTGGTTTGTTGGGGAGATTTACACCCGCGTTTCTTTCATGCACGTGTGAAGGCTGCGGCTGCGGTGTCTGCACAGCAGGGTGGTTATAGGGGTAAATCGATAAATAAAAGGATAAAATGTATTCAAAAAACTTTGAAATTAATTATTTAATTCCATAAAATAAACAGGAGAAGCTCCATTCGGCTCCGTCTGTCGCTCCTCCCCTTTAGATCTGAGTACACCGCTAGAAGAAGATGCGCTGGGCTTAGACGCATAATATTTAGGGTTTATATTTAGTGTTTGAATTTCCTTTTTATTTCTTTTTGCTGCTTTTTTAAACCACCAACAACCCCAGCTGTCGCGGCCACAGCCAGAAAGGAATAGTTTCTGCTCGCCTCAGGCGCTGTTGCAGCTGTACGTACACCTCATTAAACAAAGCAAACAAAAACTAGAAAAAAGATGAATAAAAAAGCCAATGAAATTCCATTGGAAACAAACAAGAAAAACAAACTGTCGCCTAATGTCCCATCGAAAAAAGATCTTGACCCCAAACCCTAAACCCTAAACCCTAAACCCTAAAACATTCGAACGGGAGGCACACCAAAGCAAGGAAGCAAACAAAGCAGCAGCCAACTGGAGAAACTAACAAACAGACAAACGCATGGAGAACCTAACGGAGAGGCAGACGAAGAAATAAAAGCAGAAATCAGCAAAACAGCAAACCAACAAACCCGTTTAATCTTGTTTCAATCTAGCTCGCAGAGAAGATGGGGAATGTATGTCAACCCAACAAAAGACGGTTGGATCTGGAGGCCGACATTTGTTATCTTTTCTCGGATTCATACAGACAAGAAGGCATTAAAATACAGCAAGAAACTGCTGCACAATGTCCCCGCAACCTTACAGACAGAGACTGGTGTGTGCTGCTGCTGCAGCTGCAGCTTGGGCTGCTGTTGCTGCTGTTGTTTCTGTGATCATTCCTGCTGCTGTGGGTGCCTACCTAACCCGTTCCTGTTGCTGCTGTTGCTGCTACGGTCCCTGCTTCTCCCCACTGTGTCGCTGGTGCGGGAGCTTAAAATGCAGATGCTATATCTGCTGGCGTTGCTGCTGCTTGTGCTGCTGTTGCTGCTGCCGCTGGAGGCTTGCTGCTGCTCTTGCAGCTCTTGCTGCTGATAGAGGCGCAGCTGATGTTGCTGTTGCCGTCGCAACACCTGCTGGTGCTGCTGCTGCTGCTGCTGCTTTTCGTGTCGGGTGTATGGAAGACTATTTCTTTTCGTGGAGCTGTCGCTTCCTCCAGCTGCTGCAGCAACATGTTTGCCTGCTGCACTAACAGCCCACAGCAACAGCAGCAGCAGCAGCAGCAGCAGCATATGTGTGTGGGGTTTATTCAGGGCAGCAGTAATGGACAAGGGCCCGTCTCAGTGGCGAATGGTGCTACCAAGTAGTTTAAAAGAAGAAGAGGCAGCAGCAGCAGAAGCAGCAGCAGTTGAATACACTCCAGCTGAAAAACCTCGCCGATGGAGTGCAATGGGGGGGGCAGCTGCTGCTACAGAAGTGCAGATAGAAGGGATTACTGTAGATGTTAAAGAACTTCTCTCTCCCCGCACAGTTGCTGCTGCTGCTGCTGCTGCTGCTCCTGTCCCCGTTCCTGCTGCTGCTCCTGCTGATGCAGCTACTGCACCTGCAGAAGGAGCAGCTGCGGGAGACTCAGCAGCAGCAACAGATGCAGAGGGAGCAGCAGCAGCAGCAACAGCAACAGGAATCAGCAGTTGCGGGCGCTGGTGTCAGGTAGAGACGCAGCAGCGGGGCTGCTGCCTCGTGAGTTTTAATACTATGTGTTATTTGCTGCGACAGCTGCAGCAAGCTAACCGTGAGGCCCTAGAAAATGCAATAATATCACCTACGCTCCCGAGCTCAAAAAGAACAAGCGAAGAATTTCATAGAGCAGTACTCCTCCAGGCACAGCCAATCGTCCTACAGTCGACTCTCCCCCTTCCCCAACAGGTTAGGGTTTAGGGTTTAGGGTTTAGGGTGTAGGGTTTAGGGTTTAGGGTTTAGGGTTTAGGGTTTAGGGTTTAGGGTTTAGGGTTTGGGTTGAGGGTGGTTGCTAAGGCGTGTTTCACAACTAAATGACAAGCCCTGAATTCCCTTGGGTAGACCCTAAACCCTAAACCCTAGGCGTTGAACCTTCAAAGAGGCTACTGACAGCACACAGAAGCGTCTATCGCAACATAGAAGCTAGGGGTTTAGGGCCTTTTAGTGGTTTGGGGTTTTTAGGGGTCTTAGGGTCTAGGGCGTTTTAGGGTTTAAGACTCTTGCGGGTCAATGGTTTGTTAGGGTTTGGGGTTTTTAGGGTTTGGGGTTTTTTAGGGTTTGTGGGGTTTTAGGGTTTAGGGGTTTCAAGGGTTTAGGGTTTGTCTGTGTGGGGCGCGTGCAGGCTGAGGTGTACTGCGAGGTTGAGCTGTTGTCTTACACTCCATTTAAGTCTTATATTGCTATTGGTGTTGCTGCTGCTCCTTATCCCCCTCATCATCTCCCAGGCCTTCTCCCGGGATCCTGCGCCCTTCTTTCCACGGGTAGGGTTTAGGGTTTAGGGTTTAGGGGTTAGGGTGTAGCGCGTAGGGTTGTATACGGTTTCGGGTTTAGGGTTTAGGGCTGCTCTTGCTTAGAATATGGGTTTTGACGCTTAGAGTATAACGTCTACGCCTTATGGTTTAGGGTTTAGTGTTTAGGGTTTAGGGTTTAGGGGTTTAGGGTTTTAGGCCAAGAGCATGGGGATAAAGGCGAGGGTTTTGGGTTTTATTGCTTTGGCTTGCAATGCTTTGAGGGCGAGGATCTAGAGCTTGGGCTGTGGGCGTTAGGGTTTAGGGTTTAGGGGTAAGGGTTTAGGGTTTAGGGTTTAGAGTGCTCTCTTCAGGGCAAGTGTTTAAGGGGAATAGCGTCTCCGTGGCGGACGGTGATGCCTTGGTGGTTAGTGTTTGTTTGCTTCTCTTTTAACTTCCCTCTCAATGCAGCAGCTTCTGTTCTAAACCCTAAACCCTAATTTGTAAACCATAAACCCTAAACCCCAAACCCCACACCCAAGCAAGAAAGTTATGCAGAGAGGTGAAGACTGAGTCTGTCTGTCTCCTTCGAATCCGTGTGCTTTCATTGGCCACCCAGACCCTGTTAGTGAGGGTTTAGGGTTCAGGGTATAGAGCTTAGGGTTTAGGGTTTAGGGTTTTAAGGTCAAGGATATATATATATATATATATAGGGTTTAGAGTCCATGGTTAATGGCTTACAGTTTAGCGTTTAATGTTGATTATTTAGGGTTCAGGGTTTCAGCGCTTTAGGGTATAGGGTATAGGGTTTTAGGGTTTTAGGGTTTTAGGGTTTAGGGTTTAGGGTTTTGTTGTGGGTATGAATGAAGGAGGGGGATGTTATAGGATGTTTATTTTGTCGCAAGTCTGGGAGAATAATATTTTTTTTAAATGGAGACCCTCAATGGGCGGTGCCTTGCGAAGAGATACTATTACCAGAGACGTGGGGTGAGGGTTTGGTGTCTCCCCTGGGATCGCCTCGGGATCGTCTCCTCCCGCGTCTTCGAACGGGATCGTCTGGCTTCGGGAACTTCTACTCTTCCCCTGCTTCTCGGGACATGTATATAACTATTGGAGTGTTAGGCAAAGGCGATCTTGAGATAAACTTTGGAGGTAAAAACTTCAGTCTTAATGGGGAGATATCTCGAGTCTCTCGAGGGCTTGTACAATCGACAGCTCCTGTTGCAGCCAGAGCCTTTGGTTATAGGCTCGCCAGGTTTCACGTTATGCTTGTACGTTTACATACACCTAAGGGTTTAAGGCTTAGGGTTTAGGGTTTAGGGTTTGCGGTAGAGGGAAGGGGTCATCAGCCTTTCTATCGAGGGAGAAGGGTCTAGGGTTTAGGCTTTGCGGGTAAGGGGCTACAGTTTAGGCCTTGGGCCTGGGGGAGGACGGAGAAGGGTTGGGGGTTTAGGGTTTAGGGATAGGGTTTAGGGTTTAGGGTTTGGAGCGTGGGTTCAGGATGAGCTGAAGCTCTTCTACTCCTGCTTTAATCCGCCTATGGTGCCAAAAGCAAAGGGAATGGTTGTTTTGAATATCTCCAGGCAAAAGGCGCGTCTGCAACCCTAAGGGTTTAGGGTGTAGGGTTTAGGGTTTAGGGTTTGGGGTTTTAAATTTTGGGGTTTGGGATGCAGACCCTCCGAGAATTCGAAGTTCGGGTTAGGGTTTAGGAAATTAGGGTTTAGGGTGAAAGGTATAGTGCTGAGCAATTTAGAGGTGGGGGTTTATGGCTTAGGGTTTAGGTTAGGGTTTAGGGTTTAGGGTTTAGGGTTTAGGGTTCCGACCGTGCAGGAATTCAACGAAGAACTAAAAGAGACGTACGGCAAGGACTTGACAGATGTGGCGCAGTATGCTCGTGACAGTGAGTTTTACACAAACCCTAGACCCTAAACCCTAAACCCTAGATCCTAAACCCTAGCCCCTAAATTGAATTCCTAAGTCCTAAATCTCCCACACAGCTGTAGCTGCCCCCTGTAACCTGAGCACAACGCATACAGCCAGGGTCTACGTTTTAGTTCTTCGGGTTTAGGGTTTAGGGTTTAGGGTTTAAGTTTTAGCGTCGAATGTTTAGGGTTTAGGATCATGCGTTTAGAGTTCAGAGCTCTTTTAATGCTTATTAATTAGGGTTTGGGGCTTAGGATTTAGGGTTTAGGGTTTAGGGTTTAGGGTTTAGGGTTTAGGGTTTGGGTTCAGTCAATAAACGCAAGCTGACGAACTTTTTCCGGCAACACGATATTCGGCGTCTGTCTCAAATCGACAAAATATTCGAGGACTTTGATGGCGACGTAATACACCTCAAACCCTAAACCCTAAACCCTAAACCCTAAACCCTAAGTTGTAGTTGTTCATTTGGTTCAGTGGGGCTTGTCCTCGCGGTTTAGATTAAAAAGCGGGCTTTGCCTCCCTTAAGCGTAGATTGGGGTTGTGCTGGCAAGAGGCTAAGGGTTTGAGTTCTCTTTTTAGGGTTTAGGGTTTAGGGTTTAGGGTTTGAGGGGCCTTTTGGGGTTCGCATTTAGTCGTGGAAGCTCAACGAATTCCTGCGAAAGACATATGGCAGCGATATGTCAAGTTGTTCTGTCCGGCGCAAACAAAGTAACCCTAAACCCTAAACCCTAAACCCTAAACCCTAATCATAAACCATAGAAGACGGAACACAATGAGTAAAGGAACATCGGGGGCCGCGAAATGAGGGGTTTGTTTGCAACGTGTAGCATAAAGAATCTACAAGTTAGGGTTTAGGGTTTAGGGTTTGCTGTCAGGCGTTGAGGCGATGCTGATTGAGTATTTCGATGTGGTGAAGAAAAGACAAGACCTGCTCAAAATCGGAGTGAGCCCCGTTCTACAATTTAGGGTTTAGGGTTTAGGGTTTAGGGTTTAGGGTTTCAGTTTAGTATTTGGGGTTTAGGGTTTAGGGTAAGAGGGTTTACTTTCGGGCGTTTGTATCCTCTAAATAGCGACGCTAATTGTGCATAGTATTAATTTATTTATTTGTTTTTGTTTAGCACTATGCTTGAATTAAGTTTGCGTTCATCTCTTTTGTTGTTTGTGGTGTATGTACACCCGCGTATGCCTCTCTGCATGCCGAGTGCGCATTGTCTTAATCTGTCTTTGCTCTGTTCATACATGTATAAATATATTCACATATATGCACATATATGCATATATATATATATATATATTATTTTTCACGTTATTAGTAAAAATGTGTAAATATATAGGTGTATATATATATATGTTTGCATGTATACATCTAGGTTATGAGTAAGAATACTTCAATATTCGTGCTCGTAACCTCAACGTATATATATTGTACATATGAGTAATATCTGCGTTTGCATATTGTTTGCACTTACGGTGTATGGACAAGACACACTTATAGGTGCATGTGCTTACAATGGCAACGCTTTATAAATAAATAAATAAATAAAATACTAAATAAATAAATAAATAAATGTATATATATATATATATGCGTGGATTGCCTATAAGCATAGGCTTTTGCTTTGGGGTTCCTGTGAAAACAAAGAGAAGACAAAAAAGCAGATGAAGTTATTCAGATTGTTGGGTATATAGGGAGAAATGAATCAATAGATGATTGAATGTTTAGTATGTATGATATTATTACGTTATTATTATATGAATAAACAAACATGAAGAAAGAGGAATAGATGCCGAGGTGTATGTACAGGCTGTCGCTGAGCAAGCACTTCTTCGCCCGTCAACAGTGGATGCGTTTCTGAGAGATCGATATAAAAGGGGAATAAATATTCTTTTAAAGGTGAATATTCCAAGTACAACAAGCTTTGCTTGCCTGCCTGCTTTCGGATGTATACGCAGCTTGATGTTAATTTCTCAGGTGTACAGGCAGCTCTTCATGCACATTATTTGGTGAATATAATCGCTTTCTTTCAATATATATTCTTACTAAATGAACATTCACCAGAATTAGCAGCAAATACACTCTCTTCAAGCATCTGCAGTGATGGAGACGAGCAGCTGCCTGTACACCTGAGGTGGTGCCCGTACACCTCAGCAACGAAACCCTGCTACTGTAGCCATAATTGATTAAGACGGAATGAGAAAAGCCGTAGAAAAAAGCAGAATACAGAGAAGCAAGGAAGTGTATTTCTGTTTATCTGATCTTTTGAGTAGACACCTCCCTTATACTCTCAAAAGAAAGCATTAAGTGCAAGCAAACAAATACGAAAAACAAACACAAATGGATGCATGTTAGGTTGCATTCCATTATTCAAATATACGAAAGATACGCCTCCAAAAGACAAAACAAAAAGGGTGCTTGGGGTGTACGCACACCTCAGCAATAACCCGAAGCAACAATTCTTGCAGCAATGCTTGAAGAGATTTTCTTCCTGCCTTCTTCTTTCCCTCTATCCTGGCTGAGAAAACCAGCTGGACATTTCTATGTGCATGCCTAACGATAATAAATAGCTAGCTACCGCTGCATCTAACTGGCGAGCTGGCTAGCTAGCTAGTTAGCTAGCTTGCTAGTTAGCCTGCTAGCTAGCTAGCTAGCTGGTTTGCTTGCTTGCTACTGCGGGGCCTGGGGGTCTGCTGTGGGCTCAACGCTCTCTTTTGTGTTGTTCACATGCATGATAGCTACAGCCGTGTTTGTATGAAGCCATCACTAGGGTTTAGGGTTTAGGGTTAAGGGTTTAGGGTTGAGGGTGACTGAGCAGAACCGCCTTCGGCAAATGTACGAATTATATTCTCCTGAAAACCTGAAGGAAATCGACTCCGTGGTGGAGAAATATCCTCGTAAGGGTTTAGGGTTTAGGGTTTAGGGTTTAGCGTCTCGGGAGCGAGTTTGTCTTCTTGCGTTGGGCGCGTTGTTTGTTTGTTTGTATATTTGTTTGTTTGTATATCTGTATATTTATTTATTTATTTGTTTGTTTGTTTGTTTGTTTGTTGTCTATGATTTATTTTGTCTTTGTGTCTTTGTTTGTTCGTTTATTTATTTTTTTTTGTATTTGTTTGTTCGTGGTATTTGTTTAGATGCCCCTTGATCTTATTTTTCTGCATTTGTTCGTTTGTTTGATTGCATGCATTGTTTGTTTGTTTATTTGTTTGTTTTGTTTCTTTCTTCGTTCGCTTGTTTGCATTTCTTCTTTTGTTTGTCTTGCTGAATTGTTTATTTTGTTTTTTTGTTTGCTTTGTTTGTTTGCTTTGTCAATAAGCTTTTATTTATTTGTTTATTTGTTTATTTCTTTATTTGTTTTGTTCGTTGGTTTCGTTTGCTTGCAGTTTCTCTCGTGTGTTTATTTGTTTATTTTGTTTACTTTGTTTATTTATTCATTTATTTATTTGTTTTATTTATTTGTTTTATTTATTTGTTTTGTTTAACTCCATCTGTAGATTTCTTTGTTGTACTGCCTATTTATTTGTTCTGTTTGTTTACATTTATTTTTGTTATTTATTTATTTATTTGCATTCATTTATTTATTTATTTATTTATTTATTTGCCTCTACTTATTCATTTGCTTGCCCTCACTTCTTCATTTATTTATTTGGATATATATATATATATATATTTATTTGTTTATTGATATACTTGTAAATAAATAAATAAATAAATAGTTTAATTAATATATATATATATATATATATATATATATATATATTGATGTGCAGTGTTTGACGACGCCTTCGCGCTGACTTTAAAGATGAGGATTCGTTATGGAATTGATTTGGATTCATTTTCACCATTTGACCCTGGAGAGACAGAGGGGGCTAAAAAGGAGACAGAGACGATCCCTGGGATCGCCTCTGGGATCGATCCCAGGATCGATCCCAGGATCGCCTCCCCACTTGAACTCCTCGATCAAGAAAAAGACTCAGTCGATCTCCCTGAATTGGCTTCAACGCACAGCAAACATTCTCGAAGTCTCATTATTACGCGTCCCTTCAGGCAGCAGCAGCAGCAGCAGCAGCAGCAGCAGCAGCAGCAGCAAACAAGAAGGCCTCAAAGACAAATCTCCGCTTTGGACAAACTCTTCCCCTCCTTTTCTGAAGTTGACGACAGCAGTAAAACCACAGGAGCAACTGCAGCATTTAAGAAGCACCAGCACAAGCAGCAGCAGCAGCAGCAGCAGCAGCAGCAAGGCAGCAGGCCGTGGAGTCGCCGCAGCAGATCGCATTTACCAGCCCAAGGCGAACCTTCCGCTGATTCTGTTGCTGCTGCTGCTTGGGGGGTCTCGAAGAGGGCGTCTGCGCTGCAGTATCAGCAACCGCAGCACGTGCTGCAGCAGCAGCAACAGCAACAGCAACAGCAGGAGCACCTGCTGCAGCAGCAGCAGCGCAGAGAAACGCAAGAAGCTACTGCCGCTGCTGCTGCCGCTGCTGCTGCCGCTGCTGCTGCCGCTGCTGCTGCAGGCAGCAACAATGAGGGTAATGCACCAGAGCAAACCAAAGGCAGCAAAGAAGAACAGCAAATGCAAGAAAAAACGAAAAACGCAGTGCAGCAGCAGCAGCAGCAGGACCAGCAGCAGCAGCAGGGCCAGCAGCAGCAGCAGGGCCAGCAGCAGCACCAGGATCAGCAGCATGGGGAAATCCAGCAGCAAACGCTGCAGCAGCAAAGACAGCAGCAGGAGCGGCAAAAACAGGAACCAGAGCAACAGCAGCAGCAGCAGCAAAAGCAAGAAGGCGGGAAACAGCAGCAGCAGCAAGAACAGGAAAAGCAGCAGAAACAAATGCAGCAGCAGCAAAAGCAGGTGCAGCAGCAGCTGCAGCATGACAATGAACAGCAGCGACAGCAACAAGATAAACCTCCTCTGCAGCAACAGAGTGAGGACATGACAGTGGAGCAGCAGAAACAGCAACAGCAGCAGCACCAACAGCAAGAACACCAAGAACCGCAGCAGCAAGACCACCAGCAGCAGCAAGACCAGCAGCAGCAGCAAGACCAGCAGCAGCAGCAAGACCAGCAGCAGCAGCTCGAATTGGAGAGGCGAACCAACAACCAGACAGCAGAAAACACCCCCGCTCCTGCTGCTGACAACCTTACAAGCGATGCATCAGCAGCAGCAGCAGCATCTGCTGCTGCTGCTGCTGCCACAGACACACAAGCAGCAGAAGCAGTAGCTACTGCTGCAGCTTCAGCTGCAGCAGGCGCAGGCACAGACGCAGCAGCAGCAACAGCAGCCACAGCCACAGAAGCAGCAGCAGCAGCACCTACAGCCACAGAAGCAACAGCAGCAACAGCAGCAGCCACAGAAGCAGCAGCAGCCACAGAAGCAGCAGCAGCAACAGAAGCAGCAGCAGCAACAGAGCCAGCGAATGCCACAGAAGCAGCACCAAAAGCAGCAGCCACAGAAGCGGCAGCAGCAGCGGCAGCCACAGAAGAAGCAGCAGCAGCACCGACAGGCACAGAAGCAGCAAGAGCGCTCACAGAAGCAGCAGCAGCAGCAGCGGCAGCCACACAAGCAGCACCAGCAACAGCAGCGACCACAGAAGCAGCACCAGTAGCCACAGAAGCAGCACCAGCAACAGCAGCAGCCACAGAAGCAGCAGCAGCAGCAACAGAAGTAGCACCAGCAACAGCAGCAGCCACAGAAGCAGCGGCAGCGGAAGAAGCACCAGCAGAAGCAGCAGCAGCAGAAGAAGCAGCAGCAGCAGAAGAAGCAGCAGCAGAAGCAGCAGAAGAAGCAGCAGATTTATCGGCGGAAGATTCGATGGTCCGCGCCACTGCAGAAGCAGCTGCTGACCTCATGTCTTTCCTAGAGCATGCACCCATTGCAGCAGCAGAAGCAGAAGCAGCAGCAGCAGCAGAAGCAGCAGCAGCAGAAGCAGCAGCAGAAGCAGCAGCAGCAGCAAAGGCAGCGGCAGCAACAGAAGCAACAGCAGAGGCAGGACGCGAGCCTGACAAGAGAGAGACAGAAGCAAAGACAAGTGAGAAGGAGGAAGCGAGAAGCATTACCGTGCTGCAGCAGCAGCAGCAGCAAAAGCAACAGCAGCAGCAGCAGGAGAATGAACAGCTGCAGCAGCAGCCTGGAGAACAGCAGCAGCAGCATGAACAGCAGCAGCCGCAGAAGCAACAACAGCACCAACAACAGCAGGAACCTCAACAGCAAGAGCACCAGCAGGGGCAGCAGCAGCAGCAGCAACCACAGTTTGAGGAGCAGCACCAAGCAGCAGATGGGCAGCTGCAGCAGGAGCAGCAGCAGCAGCACCAGCAGGTGCATCAGCAGCCGCAGCAGGAGAAGCAGCTGCAGCAGCAGCACCAGCAGGAGCACCAGCAGCAGCAGCACGAGCACCAGCAGCAGCTGCAGCAGCAGCACGAGCACCAGCAGCTGCAGCAGCATGAGCATCAGCAGCAGCTGCTGCAGCACGAGCGTCAGCAGCAGCTGCAACAGCACGAGCATCAGCAGCAGCTGCAGCAGCAGCAGCAGCACGAGCACCAGCAGCTGCAGCAGCATGAGCACCAGCAGCAGCTGCTGCAGCACGAGCATCAGCAGCAGCTGCTGCAACACGAGCATCAGCAGCAGCTGCAGCAGCAGCAGGAGCACCAGCAGCAGCAGCACGAGCACCAGCAGCAGCTGCAGCAGCACCAGGAGCACCAGCAGCAGCTGCAGCAGCAGGAGCACCAGCAGCAGCAGGAGAAGCAGCTGCAGCAGGAGCAGCAGCAGAAGGAGCAACCGCCTCGGCGGGAGGAATCGCAGCAAGCAGCAAATGCGCAACAGCAACAGCAGCAGCAGACCATAGATAATGCAGCTGCTACTAACTAAAAGGCCGCAGCAACAAACTGCAGTTGTATTCTAAGCAGAGGTTGCAGCAGCAGCAGCAGCAACAGCAACAACAGCAACAGCAGCAACTAGCAATAACAGATAAAACACAGATTACGCGAATATCAGTTTTGGGTGCCTGAAATTCAGACAGCAGCAGCAACTGCTGCTGCTGCTTCTGCTGCTGCTATTGCTTGCGCTGCAGCAGCAGCAATACCAGCAGCAACAGCAGCAGTTGCTGCTGCGAGTAGGTTTTGAAGCATTGCGCCTACATGTGCTCTAGGGCATTTGATTTTGCTTGCTGTCTCCTTTCGCCTCTGTCTGTTTTACTTCTTTTCTTTTATCTTTTTTCTTTTATCTTTGCTTCTTTATTTAGTGTCTTGCGTCTTTTATATAATCTGTTATATGTTTATTCTCTTCTGTCTCCATCGCCTCTGCTTCTCTCTTCTTTTGCAGCTCTTCTTACCTTCTTACTCTGAATAAACCCACTCCCAACTCTAGCTAGCTATCGGCAGCTAGCTACAGCTAGCCATCATATACCTCCAGCTAGCTACCAGCTAGCCATCATAAAACTGCGGATAACGCTCACACAGCCATCATATACATCCAGCTAGCTATCAGCTAGCCATCATATGCCTCCAGCTAGCAATCAGCTAGCTGCCAGCTAGCTGCCAGCTAGCTGCAGCCAACCATGAGTCCCTTATCCCAACCTTGCCTGCGGCCACAAGGAACAAACGACCCCTAGCTAGCTAGCTAGCTAGCTAGGTGGCTAGCTAGCTAGCCGTCGGTAGCCAGCTAGCCAGCTAGCTAGTTGGGGATCGTTTGGAGTCCGCGTAACCCCGCATACGCTCGTGCTGAGCTTGTGGAGGTAGCCGTTCATATAGCTCGCCGTCGGTAGCTAGCTAGCCAGCTAGCTAGCTAGCTAGCTAGGCCTACCTAGCTAGACGTTGGTGGCTAGCTAGCTGGCCGTGGCTAGCTCTAGCTAGCTCGCCACATCCGTTGAAAGTCAGCCCTGTATTGCCAGCTGGGGCTAGCTAGCTCCAGCCAGCTAGCTTCAGCTAGCTTGCTCCAGCCAGCTAGCCTCAGCTAGCTAGCTTCACCTAGCTTGCCCCAGCTAGCGACACATTGCTAGCTAGCTAGTTAGCTAGCTAGCTAGCTAGCTCTAGCAAGCCCGCGAGCTCCAGCTAGCTAGCCAGCTAGCTAGCTAGCTAGCTAGCTAGGTAGCTTATGGAAGCCATATGCAGCCACCATCGATGGGTTTGTAGTGATGTCTGTCTTTCGGTTTATGTTTGGTTTGTACGAGAGGTTGTTTGCTAAAGAACTTTATTTGAGTAGGCGTCTGCAAAGGAAAAGCTTTGCCTTCGAGTGTATAGGCAGGGAAAGCCCCGACTCTTCGCCCGTTTAGCGGTGGGGCTGCATGCAGCTGCTGCAGCGCTCGTCTTACTTCTTCTGCTGTCTGCAGCAGCAAAAACAGACGCCCGCAATGATCTCGCTGCTGCTGCCGCTGTTGCTGCGGGTGTCTCCAGTGCGGAGCTGCGCCTCCTGCTGCTCCCTTTGCTGCTGCTGCTGCTGCTGCTGCTGCAGCAGGGGGTTGCGGAGGAGACAGCCGCTGCATACCGATAATAGAGATAGGTACGAACGAACAAACCCACTCTTTTATTTTTTCTACAGATAATTCAAAAGGAAGATTCGTCAAAAAAACTGCAGTTATGCGCATTTGGTGCTCCGCAGACAGCTCGTCTAGCATGCTGCTGCTGCTGCTGCTGCTGCTGCTGCTGCTGCTGCTGCTGCTGCTGTTGCTGTTGTTGTTCGGAAGGCTAAGGCTCCTGCTACGCCCATCCATCGATGCCCCAGGAGACACACTACAGATGCTGCTGCTGCTGCTGC